GTTACCCTACTGTCTCATTACCTCTACTGTCTCATTACCTCTACCATCACATTACCTCTACTGTCTCATTACCTCTACCATCTCATTACCTCTACTGTCTCGTTACCCCTACTGTCTCATTACCTCTACTGTCTCATTACCTCTACCATCACATTACCTCTACTGTCTCATTACCTCTACTGTCTCGTTACCTCTACTGTCTCGTTACCCCTACTGTCTCATTACCTCTACTGTTTTGTTACCTCTACCGTCTCGTTACCTCTACTGTCTCATTACCTCTACTGTCTCATTACCTCTACTGTCTCGTTACCCCTACTGTCTCATTACCTCTACTGTTTTGTTACCTCTACCGTCTCGTTACCTCTACTGTCTCATTACCTTTACTGTCTCATTACCTCTACTGTCTCATTACCTCTACTGTCTCATTACCTCTACCATCTCATTACCTCTACTGTCTCATTACCTCTACTGTCTCATTACCTCTACTGTCTCATTACCTCTACTGTCTCATTACCTCTACTGTCTCATTACCTCTACTGTCTCGTTACTTCTACTGTATGTTACCTCTACTGTCTCATTGCCTCTACTGTCTCATTACTTCTAATGTATGTTACCTCTACTGTCTCATTATCTCTACTGTTTCATTACCTCTATTGTCTCATTACCTCTACTGTCTCATTACCTCTACTGTCTCATTACCTTTACTGTTTTGTTACCTCTACCGTCTCGTTACCTCTACCGTCTCGTTACTTCTACTGTATGTTACCTCTACCGTCTCGTTGCCTCTACCGTCTCGTTACCTCTACCGTCTCGTTACCTCTACCGTCTCGTTACCTCTACCGTCTCGTTACCTCTACCGTCTCGTTACCTCTACCGTCTCGTTACCTCTACCGTCTCGTTACCTCTACCGTCTCGTTACCTCTACCGTCTCGTTACCTCTACCGTCTCGTTACCTCTACCGTCTCGTTACCTCTACCGTCTCGTTATCCTTACCGCCCTGTTACCTCTACCATATCATTACCCCTACCGTCTCGTTACCCCTACTGTCTCATTACCTCTACTGTATGTCACCTCTACTGTCTCGTTATCTCTACTGTATGTTACCTCTACTGTCTCGTTATCTCTACCGTCTCATTACCTCTACTGTATGTTACCCCTACTGTCTCATTACCTCTACTGTATGTCACCTCTACTGTCTCGTTACCTCTACAATCTCATTACCTCTACTGTATGTTACATGATGCAGGGCCGGGCGCCGGACCTGAAGTATATTGAGGCGGCGGCGCGTAGCATCGCCGACGTCGTCACGCAGGGCAGCAAGATCATCGTGGAGAAGAGCACCGTGCCCGTGCGTGCCGCCGAGTCCATCTCTAACATCCTACATGCAAACACACGACACGGCGTCAGCTTCCAGGTGTGTGTGCGTGCGTGTGAGTGTGTGCGTGTGCGTGTGAGTGTGTGTGTGCGTGCTTGCGTGTGAGTGTGTGTATGTGTGTGTGTGTGCGTGCGTGCGTGCGTGCGTGCGTGCGTGCGTGCGTGCGTGCGTGTGTGTGTATATGTGTGTNTGTGTCCAGTGAGTCGCGGTCGATTTTCGAGTCGGCCGGCCGAGTCGCCCAATTCAAACATGTTTGATAATTATTTGAGCTGGCCGGCTGCAATCGCCTAGTGTGCCCGGGTCTGCGATTGAGCCGGCCGATTGTACAATTCATCAGCCAATAAACGTGCTGAAAATCCACAGAGTCGCCCGACTCAGTCGCATAGTGTCCACAGAGTCGCCCGACTGAGCCGGCCGGCTCGATCGCATGAAAAATTGCGTAGTGTGTCCACAGCTTTACACAATGTGTGTGCATGAGGGTGATTCAGCATGTGCCTGTGCTCATTTGTATACGCTAACTTATTGGATCTGTGTGCACCAATGCATCGTCTTCGAGCCTGCCACCGCTTGCGTCTCCGCAGATTCTGTCGAATCCAGAGTTTCTCGCCGAGGGCACGGCGGTGAACGACCTCATGAAGCCCGACCGCGTGCTGATTGGTGGAGAGACGACGGCGGACGGCCGGGCGGCGGTCAACGCCCTGGCGCGCGTCTACGAGCACTGGATCCCGCAGGAACGAATCATCAAGACGAACACGTGGTCGTCGGAGCTGTCCAAGCTCGTACGTATGCACGCACGATTCAATTTTAATTTAATTCAATGTAATTTTTACTTTATTTGCACTTACGAATTTCATTTTGGAGGTAACATATTAGTGGGGACGAGTTAATCGACAATGCTAATGAAATTAAAACAAATGAAAGTAAATAAATAGAAGTGATGGAAGGTGATACGACAGAAAAGACACGTCTGGTGGCCGAGTGAGAGGGTCGTCAACTGCAGGCCTCCATTCTCCTCATCAGATTGCGTCCTAAGATTTGAGCGCTGTTGTTCTCTGGTGGCGAAATTTGGTTTAACCGTAACACCGTAACCACCCCCGCTTGTAACTATGGTAACACCCGTGCGTAACCTGCGACATTCGCATGTAACCACGGTAACATCCGCGTGTAACTATGGTAACACCCGTGCGTAACCACGGTAACATCCGCGTGTAACTATGGTAACACCCGTGCGTAACCACGGTAACATCCGTGTGTAACTATGGTAACACCCGTGTGTAACCTGCGACATTCGCGTGTAACTATGGTAACACCCGTGCGTAACCTGTGACATTCGCATGTAACTATGGTAACACCCGTGCGTAACCTGCGACATTCGCATGTAACCACGGTAACATCCGCGCGAAACCACGGTGATACTGGGGTTACCACGGGGGGTACGCACGAGTAACACCCGTGGCGTTCTCGCGTAACCACGGCGACGATTCGTCTGCGCAGGCGGCGAACGCGTTTCTCGCGCAACGCATCTCGAGCATCAACGCGATGTCGGTCGTCTGCGAGGCGACGGGAGCAGACGTCAGCGAGGTCGCTCACGCCATCGGCATGGACAGCAGGATCGGACCCAAGTTCCTGCAGGCGTCCGTAGGTGAGGCATCCCGGCGTCGTTGTCGTCGTCGGCTGCGCTGGTGTCACGCGCAGCACCGCTCTCTAGCGTGTTGGTCTGTAGAGGGCTTTCGTGACCGGGTAGTTGATTGCGTAAATAGACTAATCGAGTTGGAGTGAGGTGTGAGACATTTGCCGTGAGAGCGCAGAAGTGTGGGTGGGCATTCGTAGGGGTTTGTATGGTAGTGTGGGTGGGCATGTGTTGGGTTGTGTGTTAATGTGAGCGGGTATTTGTTGGGGTTGGATGTTAGAGTGGGCGGGCATTCATTGGTGTATCGGAGTGTGGGTGGGCACTTGTTGGTTCTGTACGGGAGTGTGGGCGGGCATTCGTTGAGGTTGTGTGGTAGAGTGGGTGGGCATTAGTTGGAGTTGTATGTTAGTATAGCTGGGCCATATGGTAATGCAGATGTTTGATTTCGTTCTGGCTGTCCGGCAATGTGGACGTAACTGTGATTTTTCCGTCGCAGGTTTTGGAGGCAGCTGCTTTCAGAAGGATGTGCTCAATCTCGTGTACCTGTGTGAATCTCTGAACCTGCCGGAGGTGGCTGTCTACTGGCAACAGGTAGCCTACGTCTATGCAGTAATGTGCGTGTAGTTGCTTCAAGCAAGCTAGTCAGCATTCACGCACATTATGCAGCAGCGGGATTCGGAAGCTGGCTGCTGCAATGTTAAACAGGACGAACCTTAGTTTGTAGACGTGGCCAGAATGGGTTTATCTCCAAATTATGAACATTTTGGGGTGGTGGGGGGTGATCTCTCGTTCACTATATTCTGTACTGCTAGAGGCTTTTGTAGTTGATGGTAGATGTAAACAGCAGAGATTTAAAAAATAACGTGTGGGTTGATGACGAATGTCTCCTTGGATTGACGCTATTTGAAATATTTCGTGTGGCACTGTCATTGGGTGACTAAACAAATTTATTGCTATGGCACGCTGAAATTTACTGCACATTCCAGCAGCTAATATACTTTTTAAGTCGACCTATGCCAATGGCGACTCGTGGTTTTGGTCTTCAACGCGTTTCCAAGTAGTCAGGGTGATTACCAAACCTCGGTTTATTCCCGAAGCCAGGGAAAATTTCGCGATGTCATAATTTTTTTTAAAACCAACATCTGGGAATATTCATAACATCTAGATTCTAAATGTATAACATCTTACATATTAGAGCCTTTAGGCAAGATGCCAGGATGCGTTGTGGCTCGAGTCGTTCCCCGTCGTTCCCCGACGCTTGACGTTCTTTCCTCCCCGTCGTCAGGTGATCGACATGAACGACTACCAGCGGCGGAGGTTCGCGAACCGCATCATCGAAGGTCTGTTCAATACCGTCACCGACAAGAAGATCGCGGTTCTAGGATTTGCGTTCAAGAAGAACACGGCCGACACTAGGTGAGTGGTCCCGGAGACGCGGACGCCGGATACCGCCCCTGCAGCGTCGTCACGCGACCCCTAAAGTGGAGGTCGAGCAAACCGCGTAGCAAGCAGAAGAGCAGGCCTGCCGTAGCTTCGTCGACGACGAAGTGCCGCTTCTGTAGTTTCCTCATTAGCTGGTTGTTCACTGGTAGTGTTCACGGACCCCGCTGACCGCGAGCGATTCATCTTGCGCTTCCCACGAGTGGTCCTTGTGTTACAGGTTTGACTGTAAATGTGTCGACATCATTAAAAGTTGGCGACTAAAATCAGTTCCTAGTTCCTCTACGATCACCTCTAGTATCCATGATGTATATATAGTGCTGTATATATCTATATATATCCCTCAGTTGGTGGAGTATCTGAACAATCTCTTGCAGGGAATCTGCTAGCATATACGTTTGTAAGTACCTGATGGAGGAGGGAGCGAGACTGCACATATACGACCCCAAGGTGGAGGCCAACCAAATCATGTAGTAAGCCGAACAGCAGCAAGCCTTCTATAGCTTTGTCGTTGCATTATTAAAAGCTGTTATAATCTTATTGTTATGATCACCTTAGCGATCTCTTACTAATTTTATATCGACGCGTATAAGTACACGTTTCCTGTCGCCTTGGACTGTGCAAAGACGTATGCATCTCATTACGTCCACATTACTTTGTTTCAAAATCTAAAACGTGGATGATAAAAATGATAATGACATCCAACACGAAAAATCGCCGGCAGCCGTTTCACGCGCGGCATCTTCACTCTCTGTTGTCATAGCGACCTGAAGCATCCCTGCATCACGACGGAGCCGGAGACGGTGGACAAGCTAGTGAGGCTGTACGACGATCCGTACGCGGCCTGCTCCGAGTGCCACGCCGTCGTCGTCTGCACCGAGTGGGATCAGTTTGTGGTGAGTGCGGGGGCCGGTGGCCGGGGACTAGCGTCGCCGCGATGCAGTGTCGTAAGCAGTTCTGCGTCTCTAGCTGGAGCGCCGGGTACATGCTCCCGAGTGTGTTTTCGAATCGCTCAGCGCGCAAAACTGGTGAATTGAAATTTCAGCACGCGTGATGCGCACAATCAGCTTGATGGCCAATTTAAGATGTCGAGTTCGATGTCGTCTTTTTACCACAAAACATGACATTGCAACGACCAGATCGCACCTTCCCCCTCGAATATTTCAAATCTTGCACTTGCGACCCTATGCCATCCTCCCCCTTCATCGCTGACCTCTTCCCCCTTTGTCGCTGACCTCTTCCCACTTCGTTGCTGACCTCTTCCCCCTTTGTCACTGACCTCTTCCCTTCTTTGTCGCTGACCTCTTCCCCCTTTGTCGTTGACCTCTTCCCCCTTTGTCACTGACCTTTTCCTCCTTTGTCACTGACCTCTTCCCTTCTTTGTCGTTGACCTCTTCCCCCTTTGTCACTGACCTCTTCCCCCTTTGTCACTGACCTCTTCCCCCTTTGTCACTGACCTCTTCCCTTCTTTGTCGTTGACCTCTTCCCTTCTTTGTCGCTGACCTCTTCCCCCTTCGTCGCTGACCTCTTCCCTTCTTCGTCGCTGACCTCTTCCCCCTTCGTCTCTCGCTTGCAGACGCTCGACTACCAGCGCATCTACGACAAGATGCTGAAGCCTGCGTTCATCTTCGATGGCCGCATGCTGCTCGACTGCACGCGCCTCCAGGAGATCGGCTTCCACGTCGAGACGATCGGACGCCGCGTCAACCGCCCCGCCGCCGTCAACCGTCTGCCCGCGCAGGGCAGCGCGGGCGGCGTGTAGCGCCCCCTGGCGAGGTCCCGCGTCTCTAGTCGGCCGTTCGTCGGCGCGGGTTTGTTTTTAGCGGAGGGTCGGACGGAGCGAGCGCAATCGTGGGAGGTTAGCGATCGGCGTTGGATTCGTCCCCGAGCGAAGCCGCGCTCTCGCAGAGCGGTTGTTGTTTTTATTGTTGTGACGTTGGCGGTTTCCTGTGCAGCGAGTATTATTTCGGGCAAGTCGTGCGGAGTGGACGAAGACGGAGGAGGTGTCTCCCGATTCGTCTAGCGGCCCAATCTGCTGCCGGTGCTGTGCAGGTTTGTTGAATTACTAGACCAATTATAAAAAAACGTGTCGTAAAATGTAATAAGGTGCGTAAATCGTTCAGCGTAAATCGGTGTTCGGCACCTGCCTAGTGCATTTTATTAGTATTTATTTTTGTGCAAATACAGAAGCTTGTCACGGCGGCCGCCAGGTGGCAGTGGTGTCCTGCAAAGTCGCACGCTACAGTAGTAGGTTGTGTAAGGTGACAGGCAGGGGCTAGGGTTAATATAAGTCGTCAACATTTTAAACTGCTTGAATCAATGTTCTTCCTCTTAATGTCGAGAGTCATAAAAATTATGTCCGGTCTATATAAAATGATCATGTCATTCATCACCAGGAAGCTTGGCTTGTCAATTAATATGGCTGCAAATGCGTCGGCATTTATTCTCGGAGTGTGAATCTGCTGCTGACAACTACGGAAGAATTTCCATGTCGCGGCGGTTACGCGGACCACGGCCGACGGGCCGGGGCTTCCTGGGCGAACGAAGGAATAGAAGCAGACGAAGCAAATTTGTTTTCGTTGAGAAATGGGGGAGTTTTTCTGAATGCCTCGTAGTTTTCAGCTGCCCAGCGGTTAGCACCTGCGTTCCTGAGGTATTTGGAAAGCAGTACTTCCTATCTTTGCCCGTTGAAGAATCTGTCGATAAGAGATGATAAAGAAAATTGAATTGTAAAGTAAATACGGATTTAACCGCTCGAAGTCACGGCGACCTTGACGGATGTCTGATTGTGCAGGGTGAAACATGATTGTTGAGTCTATTCCCAGCTTGTGTACAGAGCGCTATCAAATGTGGGTTTTTACGCGGACGCGTCTTTCTATTGCGTATGCCTGATATTTATTATTTTATTGCGACAATAAATATGGTATGGAGAAATTCCCCGGCACTGGATAGCGCAGCATGCGTTATCTGCGTGGGTGATTGTACGAAAATCATGTTTATATAGCGTTAAGCCCGGCGCACACGTGAGTTATTTTACTCAAGTAAAATGACGCATGAGTCAAATTACTCAACGAAAATCCGCCGCACACGTGAGTAAAATGACGCATGAGTCAAATTACTCAACGAAAATCCGCCGCACACATGAGTAAAATGACGCATGCGTCAAATTACTCAACGAAAATCCGCCGCACACGTGAGTAAAATGACGCATGAGACAAATTACTGAACGAAAATCCGCCGCACACGTGAGTAAAATGACTCGTGCGTCATTTTACTTGAGTAAAATAACTCGCGTGTGCGCCGGGCTAGGAGTAATGTGCGATTTGTTGCAGTGCGTGTGTGCTTCCGTGCGCGCAGTCAGTGCTGTTTATGGTAAGCACTTATGCGCACGACACTTGTAAACACACCCATGTGGTTACGAAGATATCTGATTATCTCGCCCTGTTCGTGCACGCGTGGGAGATGTGATCAGTCTGCAAAATACTGAGGAGCACTGTAACCGTGGGCCAAATATCACTGGGGAAGAAATCGTAGGTTCGGGCGAGAAATGTGTTATTGAAATCAAGCAATCATTGTCGAATTCGTGGTGTGAATTGTTTCGTACTCTTTGTTTTTATTCGAATCGTGGAACCATTGTCAAAGTCGTGGTGTGAATTGTTTTGTGCTCTTATTTTTTTATTCGAATCGTGGAACCATTGTCGAATTCGTCATTGGTGTGAATTGTTTTGTGCTTCTTTTTATTCGAATCGTGGAACCATTGTCGGACTCGTCATCGGTGTGAATTTTTTTTTGCACCAGTGCGAACTTCTTCTTTGTGGGTTTTATGCCAACGACGGTGTATACCTGCATGCCGGCCTTCATTCTGGCCGCGTTCGAAATCGCAGCCTGCCGTCTATTCAGTCAAACGTTCATGTAGTTTATGTTAATTGCCTGTGAGCACTACGTGTAGTGGTGTTGGGCATGTTCTTATATTAATAATCTTTTAGAGACCGTATGTGCGTTCAGGGGAGTATCCAGTTGTAGGTGGCAACGAGAAGTAGATGCCAACTGTCGCGTAGCTGTCACGCAAAATGTCACCTGTCACCTAGTGCTCTGCTGTTACGTAATGTCAATTTTTTACATAGTGTCAGCTGTCACGTAAAGTGTTAATAGTCACATAGTGTCAGATGTCACGCAAAATGCAGCTGTCAACTAGAGTGTAAATTGTCACGTGCATGATGAGTTTGTTTCTGTTTAAGTAGTGATGTTTTAATCGTTTTTAAAAAACGCCAATTATTCCCCGTCAAACTAATGGCTTCATTGTATACTTTGTCCGCTGCGTTTCTAGACACGTGTTCAGCTTTCGTGGTGGCCTTTTTATTAAGTCATACCATCACTATACGAAGCCATTTAGGTCGTATTTACAAGGCAATATATATATATATTTATATATATATGGCTAATAAGTGTCAACTCTAAGGCGACAGTCAGCAATGATTTTCTAAAACCAGTAGTATTTTATTGAGTACTTATTTGAGCTATCTCTATCTGTATATTTTATTATCATCAAGTGTTTGTATTAGACCTTACATTGTCTAATACAACTGCTTGATTGCCACGATGTACCGCTGTCCATCGTTTAGCTAACAATTTATTATATTAACCACAATGATAATAATAATAATACATATTTTTATATTCGTACTAATTACACGATGATGCCATCAGTTTGTCTGTTGGAGTCGCTGTGGAGTGGGATTCCCAGCCAGTAAATGTTGCAATTCTTGCTAGGTATTTAGCGTGCATTTTGTTGTTATTCGAGACGAAATGCTCGTGGCCCAAATTCGGTTGACCTAAATATTGTCGGGTGGGGGGGGGGATGTTCGAAAGTTGGTCGGATCCACATACTTCCGTCGTGTGGCATAGATAAGCAGAAATGCATCTACGTACGTAAATAAGAATTGTGATGGTCTACTACTTGTGAAGTGGATGGAATGGCTCCCTTTCCCCCTGATTCGAACAAAAATATGTTCGATCGCGTGTAACTATTGTGTGCGCATGCTATGTGAAGGACGAGTTACTGTAGGGTTTGGTGTTGTCATTGTCGGTATTGTTATGTAAGCAGCCAAATTAACTTTAATTACTAAATGCGCTCACACAAAATGGCAATAAATATTTATTTTCTCACTAAATTAAACCAGTTATCGTAATCTTTATAGAAATTTCTTGTTTAATGTCAACAGCCAAAAGCCAAAAGCGTCGTCTTCCCTACACTAGGTAACATGCGTCGAGTCGTGGTATATATCATATTTTTATCCTAGTGAGAATTCATAAGAGTCCCCGTGAATATATATATATATCAAGAGTACATATATATATATATATATATATATATATATATATATATATATATATA